ATTTCTCGTCGAGGCCTTTATGTCGCGATCAATCAATCATTGCCTGATTTTCCAGTAATCCAAATGATCCTGTGACATGGCACATGGTGCAGAGCCAACAGCAGCAAATCCAGTACAACGAACCTGTAGCCCCAACGATTCCCTACAATGAAGTACGAATCCGTGTAATGGTTGGGGAAAAGGGACGTTTGGGTTGTGGTGTGTGCAAGGGAATTGTGCCAGGACTGACAGTGCAGGTATGAAAAAATGAGCCAATCAAAATTCCTATTCCCAAAATCAAGACCACCGATCCAATCAGAATGATTCGCCAATTCTCTCCCCGGTCCGCGCTTATCACAATCTCATTAACTGCGAATTAATGAACAGTAATTATATATTCGATAGGCCAGTGCAGAGACAGAGTTGACATATACTAGTTGTATAATTAATTAAGTAATAGGAAAAAGCTTGAATATGATTTTTTTCCAGGGAACAAGAGAGGGTGGTCCAGCTCGTGCAGCAGGTCTCAAAGCTGGTGACGTGATAGTGTGGTGCAATGGACAACGGCTGACAGATTTGCCATTCGAGAGAGCCATCGAGGTGATGCGAGGTGCAGCGATCCTCGACCTCGTTGTTAACCGTCCAATCCCAGCCAGCAATGGTCTATACGATTGTCCCGAGACCCTGTGGATGCGAGGTTCAAGTGGCTATGACTCTGAATCCTCAAGCATTGGTCCAACCAGCTCACCAACACATGCTAATCCCTCGTCACCGCAACACCAGCCTGGAGGTACACAAAGATACATAGAGAACAGAAATGGCAGGTAATGCATAACCAATTGATCTCAACTCAACCGATCGTTATATTTCATCTTCATTCAATACTGGGGGAAATTTTGAACGGTGAAAGTATCGGTAATTATAGGGCGGCAGGGTTTACGGCTTTTCGGCTACATTGACGGAAACTCTTCAATTATATTGCAACTTAATAATTTGGGCCTTTAGCAGAGCCGAAAAATCGTCGCGATAATAGCTATACTTGCTCAGGGTTACACTTTTCCACCCACGGTGATTATCAGAGATAATTATGATGGACTTTGTGGAATGGAATTAAACCCATTCTACTAATTTTTCAATTTAATGAACGAAATTCCTCATAAAGCTAATCATCCAATTAACATCCGCAATTCCACTTAATCGCAGACGTTGCATATTGCGTAGATTACACCGTATAAAATTTCATCTTTATCACTGCCATGTATTCCACCATAATCAGTGATATTTCATGGGCAAAAAAAAGAAAAAAATAGTAGAAACATTTTAATAAGCACAATATTCCTGCCTAAAGGGTTATAAAGCCGTCTAATAAATTACAAGTTTCCCGAGTTAATGAATGAAAAAAGGCCTGAAGAATTTATTAGATATGATAAACTCATAATATATTACACTTATGTAGAGCCTGCTGTCCCCTGGCCTTGTCAACAAGCAGTTGCTCGTCCTCGGAGTGGAATCACCCGTGCGATCAGGTAAGATCTCAGACCGCTGAGGAGTTAATGCGTCTTATCCGGTGGTACCGTCTGGCCTCGAACGCATAAAGAAATCGCGAAAGAGTATCCCGATACAAAAGCCAGTTATCATCACTTTATTTTCAGGGCCAGGAGTGGACACGAAAGCCCAACAATACAACGGTCATACGAGTCAATCAAAATGTGAATCAGAATCCAAATCAAAATCAGTATCGATCAAATGTTGGTGTTAATTACTCGACACATCCGGCTTGTCATGGCAGTTATGGCATGGGTGATGCGGGGAATGAGCCCCTTTATGATCCGGTGACACCCAGAGACTATGAGAGCCATGATTTCGATGCCAATCCACTTGATGAGAGGAATAGGCGGCTTATGTATGAAAAGGAGAATATTGTGCTTTATGATCCACCTGGTGATGACAGAATTGCGTATACTACCAAGGCAAGTTTCAGTTTTATATTAATACTATAATTTATTATTAGCGTCATTCAGGCATTCAAATATTCACCAAGTCACTAACTGCATTTCTTGCAGTTATAGGTCAGAAATGGGGGCAATTACTATTTTAAAAAATTGAAATTCCTGTTTATTTTATCATAAAGACTGTTTTTTATTTTGTAATTCGAGAAACATAACGAGGGAGAAACACGTTTCTCGAATTATTGAAATAGTACGAAAATTCTTTCTGCTGCAAAGTTATAGAATTTTTCCCCTCGTTTCGATTAATTGGATGAAAGACATTATGGAATGATTGCTCTCTTTCAGGACAATGAATTCTCCCCGAATTCCAATATACCCAGAGCCCCGGAATTTGAACGAAAGACTGTAACCACTGTTGAGGTTCATCAGTCATCAGGACCACCAGCTCCCCCGTGTCCACCACCAATGTCTTACAAATGGCAAACAGGTAGTTAGAAGTTTGATAAAATCACTTCAGCATTGGGAAAAAGAAAATCAAAATCGTGTGCATTTTGCACACGAGATAAAATCCTATATTCTTCCATATATTTTTTCCCTAGTGGATACGAAACCAATGATGGGACTGAATAAACAAATGGGTAGCACGATGTCAATGGGCTCAACAGGATCAACCGAGACTGAATCGAGTTTAGAATCCTGTGGAAAGGATTCAGCATCGACTTCGTCCTCGCTGTCAACCTCGTCCTGCGAGCCAGCCTCATCAACAGTCTCATTTGCCTCAACAATGACGACTTCCAACGTGCCACTGCCCATTAAATCCCCAGAACCCACCCCCATTCGTCCTCCACCACCACCTGGACGGGCCTGTCTACCTCTATCCACAACTGACCTTGGAACTGCCATAGCCCAGGAACTTCAACGACGAGCTCAACAGGTCAGTATAACAATTCGAAATTCTTTCTTTATTAATTTCTCTGAGCTGCTATTGACTTGATTGTGATCTGAGCACTTCT